TTGCCGCCCTACTAAGGGCATCTTTGTAATATCTCATACTTAAGTTAATTATAAATAGAATGAGGGGCTGGCGGCTAGGGTTAAGTCAATCTATCCTAGTCGACCTTCTYCTCTTTTCTTCCCTTTCCTCTGTCTCTTGCTGAAATCCCCAACTTTCTACTCTTCCTTCACAAGAAGCTTGGCCGAAATCAGCACATAAGGTTTTCTACTACTATCATAACTTCAAAACATCTGTGCCCCTATGTTCACCTCCTTCTTATCCAAATAATGCTTTGGACCTGCAAGATGTCCTGCAGTCGGAGCAACCAATCATTATGGTGGATGGGTCATGGGACACTATCACACATAGTGCTTCAATTGGACTCTTTATGTTCTCACATCGATCTCCTCTTCTCCTTGCAGAAGGACAACCTTGCATGGCACGATCATCAACATCAGTTCAGCTCTGGGCAATCATAAAAGGTCTCCATAAGCTTTTGTGTTTGGGCCACAAAAGTGCTTTTTTCTGCTATTGGACGCTAAAGGCTATCTATTGAAGCTAAAAGGAACCGATAAAATTATCAACTGGGAAGTTCAAGCTCTATAAAATCACATCTTTGATCTACTATCTTTTTTTGATGATATCAAATTGTTGTATGAAAATAGGTTGGTCATTAAGCCTGCCCATGATCTTGCAAGACAGGCCAGGCTTAGAAAAACTTTTATTAGCAAATCTAGCCCCCCTTCGTCCTTTCATGTTTGTTTTTTGGATCACTGTAAAAGGGGGCTCCTAATGTACCCGTGATCTTTGTAGTGGTTCCTTTTATTTTGCCAAAAAATACCTAAATGAAGAATATCACATAGCTATCCTAAATACAATAGACAGAGCAGACAATAGATCAACAAAACAATTTAGACGAAAGAGCAACATTCATTTCACACTCCGGGTTTAGTCTAAAAAAGACGAAAACAGAGCACTTGCATGTCAATGTCATCAATAGCAATTGAAGCAGGGGAGAAAAAAAACGATTACAAAAAATAAAAATAACAGAAAAGGGGAGACAACGAAAAAGATTGGTCGATTCTTTAAACTGATAGTGGATTGAAAATAGATATACAAGATAATCAAAACTTAAAAAAAGGCGATGGAACTAAACTGGTGCTAGGATTTTGCCGGAGCTGTTTCGGTGGTGGCTTCATTACTAGCTCCGAAAACTCTCTCAGGTCTCAGTTATCCCATAACATACGATAAGTAAAGCAAAAATAAAAAAAAAAAAAGAAAAGACTAGAAGAATGTGCGAGAAAATAACCTACCTGGGCTGGGATTTCGGCCTAGACTCTGATCGATGCAATGGGGGAGATTTCAGATGAGCTCCGTCTTCAAATTAGTCGCCCTCGGTTGATGAAAGCTGAAGAGTTGAAAGAGGAAAGCCAGAGAAAAGGGTCGAGTGGATCTGAATCTAGCACCGCTGCTCTGTTCTCTGTCTTGAGGTCGAAGGCGATGAATGACGTTCTTTGTTAACGACTCAGCTTAGGCCCGAGGAAAGACAGAGAGACGATGGAGACGGATAAGAAGAACCGAAGGTGGGAGAGAATACGGGGAACAATCAGAGAGAGAAAGAAAAGATTTCCCAGTTACCAGTGGAAGGAGGAAGGCGACGACACTGTTCGAATGCCTCTTCTGTTCGAACTTCGGACCAAGAAGAAAGTGAACCCCGGAAATGAGGTATTTAAGCTTTAGGAGGGCGGGTGGTGTTTTTGTAATTTTGTGAAAGGGGCAGTTTAGTAATTACACAAAATTAAACACGAGAAATCTCTAATTGAATCAAACATTGGGTTCTCTTCTTCTTCCTTCTTCCTACCGTCATAAACTCCCAACAAAGCTTCCTCTTGCAGCTTCAATCGGTGATTCACTGATTCGTTTGGGTTTTCTTGCATTTGTTTCTTCAGTTTTATTTTTCCTGCCGCACAGGTAACTCTGTTTAGTTCTTGTATTCTTTGCTTAACGTACCAACTCTGCTTGTTCTTACCTATCTAAAACTGTATTTTGGCTTCATATGTTTATGAGTATATCCACCGCTGTTTTTTGCCATTTCTTTACAAACTTGGAAACAAAAACAGAAACATTCTATTGTTTTTTCATGCCAATTAAAGGGATGGATGGGTCTACCACTGTTTTTTGTCAACAATGGTTGAAGGCTTGATGCCTCTCATTCCTTCTCTTTCTATGCAAAAATTTCCACCGAACATTCATTAATTTATTCCTTTTTAATTTTTGTCAACAATGGTTAAAGGATTATAGATGCAGTACTTGTGCTTCTTCTCTTTTTACGTTTGATTTTGTTGTTCCTTTTTAATTTATTTTGTGTCTCTCTGCCATTCGAACTACACACATCAGTACATCAGTCTGTCTGAAATACAGAGGACTGATGAAGGAAGCTAGTGGGTTGAAACTTTGCTATTCCTTTTTAAATTATTTTGCTCCTGAGGAACAGATTGCCAAACATTGTTGTTATTCCCCAGGAACCAGAAATAGAATTCCTGTTTTGGAATAGGAATTTCTTTAGGAACAAGAACAATGCCAAATGGGGCCAAAGGAACCAAAAAGAGAATAAAGAAAAAACTAGAGAAAAGGAGACAACTGAAACTAACACCCGGGGAGGGGGGTTTGGATAGAAGGGAGATCCCGTAGAGGGTGTTATGATCCATTTGTCCCACATTGGTAGTATGGGATGCTGTGTGGGGTATATATGTGCTTGGTTTTGCTTATTCGTCTTGTGTGTGTAGTACCACATGAACGTCTTCCGTCTTTCTACAACATTCGGGAAGGAGTTCCGGCCACAGAGTTACCACAATCATCTCATTTCCTTACAAAATATTTGTTGTTGTTGGTGGTTTACCCTTCCACCGTGCCTTGATCCTTATCCACTCCACCAAACCCACTAACCTTTACCCTACCACTACCCAACTTTAATCTCATAACATCACAACCAAAAGAAACACTCCAACTAACAAAACTTTCCAAAACCAAAATAAAGAATAAAGCACCCAACCAGAACCAAAAAATAACCATACAATCACAACAGGTTTGAAACTCGATCCTCCCAACTCAGAACACAGACTACCTATTCAAGCCAACAACAAAAACATCAAACCTCCAAGTTAACACTGCTCAAC